AAACTATATCAAAGCTTATAAAAATAGCGAAACTATATCAAACACTTAGTAAAAATTTAGCAAAACTAAAGGTTTTATCGTTTTGCCAAATCCAAAATGAGTTTAGACAAACAACCTTATTATTAAGTTTTCTTACTTCTGATATATCTGCTATTTCTTGTATATCTGGCTTATATAGCATGTTTAACATATTGTGTAAATTTGATATATTTCATGTATCTGTCAAAATTAGCAGAAATAGCAGATATTATATATAGTATAGTAAGATCATGTGATTTTATTCTATCAGATGATTTTCTCTATTATAATATTTCATATTAATTAATAATTTACTTTTTTGAAAGATAATGATCATTATTTATAAATAATTTTAGATATATTAACATGATAGAACTCTTCTTATTTAACCTGAAAAGGATTATTAAAATTAAAAATTTTATTGTTATAATAGCAAGTTTACTAGTATTGATTCTGATGCATAAATAAGAAAGAATGATAAAAAACTAAAAAAATTAATTTGGTTGATGAAGAATGGAAAGCATTAAAAAATTAACAAATATTCTTAAAAAATTTGCTAAAACTGCTAAAATTTAAGGTGATAGTAAATATGCATAATTAGTTTTATATATTAAGCTTTGGTAATAATTAAAAAGATATAAATACTTCAATTGAAATACTCAAAATACAGTTTTTGATAAAAATATTGATATTGGTAACAAATGCTTTAGAAGAAATTAATACTAAATATTCAAAAGGATATAAATATTTCTATTCAAATTGTAAAAATCTTAAAAAAAAAAGTAAAAATACTTTATATCAAGCTATGAATTATTATTGGAATATATCAAGAGAATATGAGATGATAGGAGCAATGATTTGTTTCTAATAATTGAAAATTAAAACAGAAAACAATTAGAAACAATTATAAAGATCTTAATAAAGAAGGTTATAATTATAGAGATAAAGTTAAAAATCAATTTTCCAATTTACTTTTAGCAAGTATGTTTATGCAAAATATCAAGAAATCAGATGAAATAACGATTATATAGCTATTCTCAAACTTAGTTCAATAGTTGTTCTCTAGAATAGTGGAAAGTGAATCAAGGAAAATTTCCAATTTTATCAAATCTTGCCTGCTACATTAACGCCTAGTAAGAGAGAGTGTGATGCAATTAATATAATGACAATCCAACGAACCAATTATTGCCTACTACATTTGAACATTTATTTTTTCTTACAAAAATTGGAATTTGGCAGGAGATATTTTTCCAAAAGATGATAATGTAGTTTCTAATAAAATTATTTAGTTTAGATTTTTGCTCGTTTATTTAGGGGTTTTTTTTTGTAAATACTAAAGTTACCAAATAAATAAATTCGTTAAATAATAGTAATTCTATGTTTTTATACTATTTAATTTATGCTATATATGGGTAGTATGCTATTAAAATTGAGGTACGAGACATAGTAAATCATATGATCCATACCTCAATTTTTAATAGCACACCACCCATATAATTTTTAATTATTGTAAAATTACTGCGGCAATTTATTACTAGGGAACGGTTTCGAAAACCGTTGTTAAGTCCGGAGCAAATGTGTAACGAAAAAGACCAATCATGTATCGATCAATTTTTGACAACGGAACATCTTGTGTCACCGGTCATAGAATTCGTTACACTCCGGACTAATTAAAAAAAAAATCAGGATTTTACGGATATTAAAGATATCTTTGTAATCTGTAGATATCTGTCCGTATCCGTTTCTTTGTTCACGGATTGGATATACACGGATAGACAGATATCCGGATCTAACCACTAGGTGGTAAGCTTGCTAGTCATCAAATTGATAGTAGAGTTTTTTAATTATGGATATCTGATCCATTTTGCTTACTTTCCAGCTGTTATAAATTATTTTGAAACCTATGGTATTGAAACTTAGACTTATCAACATTATTTAAACAAATTAAAAGAAAAGATTATCTCTTCTCCTCCAAATACTTGTTACTGGATTAGTTTAAACGGAAGTGATGAGTATGATGCACTATGGGTCGTAATTATAGGATATAGTATGATTCATAGGTTTTGGCGAAAACTTCGTTACTCCCTCATTGCGATTTATGCGATCCGACTTGTATTTTTTTCTGCATTTTAATGCTTTATTTTGTTATTCCTTTTTTTAATATGATAATAAAAATTGTCAGATTATATAATCATTTTTCAAGATATAATTTTTGAACGTGAAAAGATTAACACAGTTTATTGTTTTCTAGTTTTACACAGAATAAAAGTTATTCTTTATTGATACTAACTATATTCCAACTTTATATTTAATCCTGTAAATAGAGAAATACCGGGAAAAACTACATACGTATGAATCGTCATTAAAGTAAATGTTGGATAAATACTGGCAGATTATAACAAAAGTTCTCGGATCAATTTGGTTGACTCATCGGACATGATTGGTTAAATTTATTTGCTCAATTCTTTGTCATTTTTATGAAAATCAAATTGGATCAACCAATAAAATACTCAATATGCGGGTGTATATAATACACGTATTTCTCTAGGGATGTTAAACGGTCCTAAACGGTCCTAAAAGTCCCAATAAATTTGCCAGTTCTAGAGAAGATTTTTATTTTACTGGCATTATATTTTACTTTCTAATGATAATTTGTTAATTGAATATAAATTAAAAATATATATTAAACTTATGCGGTCCCATGTTAATTGTCGATTCCAAAGTTCATATTTCTTTTCATAAAATTTATTATTACAATTATTTATCAAGGGTTACTTATTATAGATAAGCGATTAGACTTTTCTATAACTCGTAATTTCAATATTTGTTTACAGTCATTTGGGACCGTTTAACATCCCTAATTGGGCGATTGCGTATTTATACAGTTATGGCAAAAAAAAAATGATCAATTTAACTGACTGAGGCAAAATCATTCAAAGAATTGATCGTTAAAGTGCCATGATATCGATTATTCTATTTAATATTTTTTAAGCAAAAAATTTAAATTATTATAAGTTATATAATAATACTATATAATTAAATGCTTTTTTAGCACGGTTTTTTCTGTCATCCCCATATGATCTCGGGATTGTTCGATTTTAAATTTTTTGAATACAACAATTTTGAAATATTCAGCAACAATAAAATAGATTATTTTCCATTTCGATTGATTAGAAAGGTTGAACTCGATCAATTCGATTTTGAGTGACGAGAACGACCACCTTTACATAATTAGGAAAATGTTGTCTAGAAGAATAACATGAGCAGAAAGAGATAGCGTTCTTTCAATTAAATATAACGGTTCATAAGACTGAACCTTACCAAATTTAATATGAAATTGTAGCAAAAAAATATGTCCTTTAAATTTCGAATAGCCAAGGGGATTGGATTGTTATTGTAAAAAAAAGACCAATGTTCACATGTTTAAATTTTATTCACTGTAATATATTTTAATGTTTAGATCTCATAACATATCATAAGATGAATCCGCAATGTTTTCATGGGACATTGGCACTTAATGTGGGACAGTTTCAAAATGATTGGGAGTTGTATCATGCGATCTAGAACAATATCTGGCTGATATCTTGAAAAGTTGATATTTATTTATATCAGCTGGATGATTGGATTGAAACTCGGATTGGAAAGATTTTCGGTCCAAAATATTTTGTTGTTGAAATCACATATATGAGCTAACCGATTTTGTTATGGTACCATTTGGTAAGAACGAAAATCCGAGATCCGCACATCTAAAAAAGGCAACCATGTGAGGTAGATCTCTTTTTAAGTTATTCCATTTAAATACATTTTTACATTTGAACTTAAAAAAGAATTTTTTTTATTGAATAAAGAATCAAAAGAAGTATCGGGCTCAAATATTTGATCATTTTGAATTATAAATCAAGTGGGGTAGCGTGATGTTCTAACTATTCGTAGAAATTGATTACAATAATATGATGATTGTTTTAACAAAAAAAAATAGTATTCGAATGGGTAAAATTATTAAATAAACCTATATAAAAAAAAAAACGGTTAATATTTTTGATGTTATTACAAATAAAGTTGAGACTCGTCGATTGAAAATGAACAAATCCGATTTTATAAAAATAACAACTACTAAGAAAAACTTTAAATAAATTATAGATTTTTTATTGCGAAATTGATTCGTTTTTTCTATTAAAAAATATGTATAAATATGAGCCAAAAATCTTTATTACTTTATTTCTAATCATTAAAAAAAATTCTTTTGCATTTCTTCTGAACATTAAAAAAAAAAGTTCTTTCCAATTTACGTTTTCGCGCATTAATAACACAATCTGCTTCGTATTACAACCATGAATAACCCTAATGGAGGTGCTAATCCTTCTTTCTGCGATCGATCTCATAATAACCAGACCTTAGAAGATAATTTACCATCTGCTACTTTACCGGTTGCTGAGATATTATCGGTAGTTGATAGTACATCAAATTCGAATATGGATCCTGTAAATTGGTCGAAAACGAAGAAATATTTTATCGTTGCAATGATTTCTTATGCTGGAATGATTACAGGAATTTCGTCATCGTATGCTATTTATTTATTCATTTTTTTTTTTGTAAAAATCATTTAAATATATTTTTTCTAACGTATTTTTATTATTTTGAAATATTAGAATGTTATACCCCGCATTATCAAATATTCGAGAAGAATTTGATATTAATGAATTTCTAGCAAATATTTTAGGTAAAAAAACAAAAATAAAATTCTTGCGTTGCGTATTTTATAAAATGATAATTAATATGAATAACTTATCATACCTTTAGTTTCGATTTATCTCGTATTTCTAGGAATTTCGGTAAAAATCAAATTTTTTTTTTTTTATACGCCCTATCTCGAAATTTATCTTTAACATTATTTTTAATCATTCATATATAGCCACTCGGTTGGGCATCGTATTCTGATGCATTTTCGACTAGGCGCAAGGTTTATTTGACCTCTTATGTGTTATATGTCAGTGCATCTTTAGCATGTGCTTGGTCAAATAGTATTTGGTTACTTATCGCAATGCGTGGAATTCAATCTTGTGGTTCTTCATCCGTTCAAAGTGTATCGGCGGGAGTTATAAGTGACATCTTCATTCCATCTGGTAAGTAATTCATTAAAGAAGAAAACCTTTTTTTTCGATTTTATTAATATTAAATAAATAAATAAATATATATTATCTTCATTATATAATTAATAGAAAGAGGAAGTGCGTATGGTATCTTCTATGCAGGTTATCTTGCAGGTAAATTAATAAATTAAATTGCCACTCGCTACTCACGATTATTGTAACTTAACCGATCAAATTTCTGTTTAAAAGGTCAAATGATTGGACCAATTTTTGGAGGAACTGTGAACCAATTTCTTGGATGGAGATGGATCTTTGGAATTTGCACAATATTAGGCGGAATACTAGTTATCCTCACTTTCTTTTTCCTTCCCGAAACGTTCTATAATCGTCAATTTGAAGAAACCTTACCTACGACAATGACTTCAAGAGCACTAAAATTACGATTTAATCCATTTTTACCATTAAAATCATTATCAAAACCACATATTATATTAATTGTAGCATATATGAATACATTAGCAATTTTACATTATGTTACAGATGTTCTAATTCCACGTAGCTTTATTGATGATTATAATTTAAATTCTTCACAAATTGGACTTGTTTTCTTGGCCCCTACGTCCGGATATGTTATAGGAAGTGTTCTCGGTGGGAAGTTTTCTGATTATATTTTACGAAAAGCCAAGGCAATGCATCATGGTATCATGGAACCTGAAATGAGACTTCATAGTGCTTGGATTTCCGCCTTAATTTTACCGACATCTTATGTCATTTATGGATGGTTTTTATCGGAAGAGGTTCATTTGGCCTTGCCCGTTACTATGTTATTTATTGGTATGTATTATGATTAATTACGTTTTATACTAGTAATTTCGTTATTTAAATTCTTTACGGATTCTAATTTGAAAATTCCTTTATATTTATGTATAATAATTAGCTGGTTTTAATGGATACATAGTTCAAAGTTCGGTTAGTACGTATTTAGTTGACGTAAGTCCCGATAATAGTGCATCAGTACAAGCAGCGAATAATTTTATAAGATATTCAACGTCAGGTATAATTATAGCCTTTGCTGTAGATATTGATGAATTTATTGGAGTTGGTTGGACTTTTACTTTAGCGGGAGGTTTAAATTTCATTGGATTCTTCTTGTTATTAATTACATTTTTCAAGGGAAAATTATGGAGAGAAAAAAACAATTAAAATTTTTTGGGGGGGAACGGAAATATCAAAAAAAAAAAAAAAAAAAAAAAAAAAAGTTAATATTTAATTTAATAAACATTTTTAATCATGTGTAAAATTTTTTTTTTCGCGAACGATGAGAAATCACTGATAATTCCCAGATTATGTTCAGGTATCTTTATACTTTTGGCGCTTATTATTTAATAAACCAAATTTGGTTAAAGATCATAATTTTTTCATGTGAACTTATTTTTAAAAAAATGATAACCATACCGTATATCTATGATAAAATCTTCGATTGTATAATATTTAAAGATTATCGCCGAGGTTGATTAATATTGCGCTAATCCCATTTTGGCAATAGTCGAAAATAATTCAACGGGTTTCGATAGTTTCGATTTGTGAATTCAAAAAAATTTGATTAAAATGTACGAAGGTTTTATAGGTTTATAGAAAGCATTTCTATAATAATCCACAATTTAATTTATGAGGTTTGTTGAGTATTTTTTATTAAAATTTTAATTTTTAATCTAATATTATCAAAAAAAAAAAATGCAATAAAATTAAATTTTAATAAAAAATTCTCAAAGCCCCATTAGCAAACCTTCTATATAACAAAATAACTCTGAGTAGCAATTATAGTTGTACAGTCTGCAACAAGAAGATAATTTACGAGAAAGAGAATTTCAACATATATAAAATTAATATTAAAATATAATAATATAATATATTTTTTTATTATATATATGTCATAAAGATAGCTAAAAGCATCAGTTATTTAATGGTTTTATCTTTTCATATATTCAAAAAGTATACAGATTTCTTTATTTTTTTAAAAAAAGTTCTATAACAATAAAGACCTTTAAGCTTTGTATGATAGAAATGCCATCTCTAAGCAAACCCTTTTGAAACTGAGATTATTTTGGACTATTTTTTTTGCAGGCAATTAGCGTTCCAAAGAAGCAACGGTAAGTATTATTTAAATTGATCATAGGAAAGTCTTCCTATGAAGGTTTACTACCCTTCGAAACATTTGCAGCCATCGAAATTTTAGCACCCATTGTTGAACAATCACATAATATAATTTAGTCCTTCGAATTAATTACAATAACTTTATCACAATCAAAACATGGCAAAAGGTAATAGTAAATGAATAACAAATATCTTTATTGAACTCTTGATTTTTCACAAAACCCTATCTTGAATTATCTTCAACTTAAGGAAAAGTATATGATATTTATACAAAATAAACTATTAATAATATTATATAATAAATTTGTCCTATATAATATATATGATAAATATAATTAATGTAATAAATATTACATATAAAATAAATCTATCTAATATTAATAAGAATCATCGATCAGATATCATAGCACTTTCAGAAAGATTTTTAGATCAATCAATAAGGTTTCCGATCAACCAGATGTCGCATAATTTGTCATATAAATTTGAAGATCAATTTTTGACGATCTTTTAATAATGTTAATCTTGCAAAGAACCTCAGGGGTATTGCCAGTCAACCTTAGTACTGATATATATATAATGCACTTTGGATTTTATATTAATCACAATAAAATTAATAAGGACGTCAAAACTAGCAAGTAGTTTAATGACCAATATTCCTATTAAAATTAAAAGGGTTATTTAAGTGAAAAATCTCGAGAAATCAAAACAATTCATAAGCAAACAAACAAGATCATACTCATTTTTTTTTACGTTTTTCCTATTACATATCGATTCAAGAAAACTAATTTTATCATAACATTTTGTAATTCTTTCGATAAACCTGGAGAAGCTGTACGTGAAGTTGAAGTTTGAATTGAACCGGTAGGTGAAGATAAACCAACAGTTGAAATGGTATCAGCTTATGATAGCTGAAGTGACAGAACGTCGTGGAAAAACATGTATATTCCATAGACCATACAATAATTACTTGTACCCATATTTTGTTATATTTGACATAGTTGAAGTACGTTAAAATAATTAAGAGAATGAAAAAGTTAGAAAATTATGATAAAAGTAGTGAGAGAGTATTTATATATGTATATACCTTTAGAAATTACGCAATTTGTTGAATTAAAATGTTAAAAGAAATTGTTATAAATTTAATACTTAAAACTCCATTATCAAGCCTCTTTTTACAACAATGGAAAATATTAAAAATTAATAAAGACATTTATTTTAAAAATGTATGATATTATTCGTAGTTAACTAATAATTATTTTCATTAAATTATAAGAATCATTTCACTAAAAGTTTATTCAGATCTTTAATAATTTTTTAAATGTCTTAAATTGAAGCGTTTTAGGAAGAAATCTACTCAAAGAACACAAAGTTTTGTAATTAAAACATTATTGATAATTCACAAAATGTTTCTTATAAGGATAAACGAAAGAAACAAAAAATGGTTGATAATTTATTTCTAAGAGAGAGGAATAAAAAAACTGACAAGAAAATACAAGTTAAATATTTTATTGTCGCTGTGCAACATTTATAAATATACAAAATACTGTATAATTTATCGCATGGCATGGCGATATTTCAGAATTAATTACAAAATACTGTACACTTCCTTATCCAGTACTTGTCTCCAATAGAGAATTGTCTAAATACGCTTGATTGGATCCCATTTCCCTGTTTTTCTGGCTACATTTCGTAAAGACAAAATGGGGTATTTGCAATAGAAAGGGGGGAACTGCCGGAAAAATTCAATTTTACTTTAATATGTCAAATATGATTTTTAGGCTGAAATATGTTCAAATTTATCATTAACTAATTTTTTAATTTTCCGGCAGTTTCCCCCCTTTCTATTGCAAAGGCTTATAAAGAAATAAACATTTCTAAATATTTTTACTTTAAAAATAATTTATTGTCTTGATTTTTTTAAAAAATTAGTTTTGGTAATGAATTTTTTTTGACGACTACGCAATATTTTAGCAACAGTTTTATTTTTTTTTTAAAAAAAATTTTTAAATATATGAAGACAAATTATATAATTGGTAACAAGAATTGAAAATATACAAGGTCTAGATTATTAATATAATCGAAGAGAAATTAAGTATATAAAAATAAAGCGCAATTTTTTAATGTACAAATGCTAAATATGAAAATCTGTCCTTTTTTATAAGGAAATGCAAATATAATACAATGATGTAATGATGATAAATTCTTCTAACCATTGTTCATTATTCGGTTACGATTTCTAAAGTACCATCAGAGTCCTCGCTAAATTGTTCACGTAATGGGGTCAATTGTTCATCTAAAGTATTCCCACCCCATCTTCTCGGAGAAGCAACCGTCAAGGAAGAATTATTAGGCCTTTCACCAAAACGTTGTAATCCAAAGTTAAAAACTCTCGGCCAACTGCTCAAACGTCTAACGAATTGTCTGTAATTTTCATCTTGTCGTATAACATTTCTTACAACAGTGTCTCTTATCTGAACTACGGTTTCTAATTGGTTATGACGTATTTCGTTAGTATAATAACGCATTTTAGTTAACTTTAATACGTCAAGGTAATAGGAATCGAGATAATAGTCTTTAAGCAATTGTTCGAGAATTTGTATTCGATCATCTAAACTTGTTCCGACAGGCCGATCGTTAATATTCTCACCAAGTGGAATCCCAGCGGCAGACACATACCTCGTGGCTAAATGTTTTTTAAAACTTCTGCGACATGGCCAACATCTAAACACTACCTTTTGAAATATTCCCCAAGGTTCTACCTTTGACATGCCAAATAAAAAGATGTAAAAGGCCACGACGGCCCCATAAAACCCACCAAGCCTTGATACTATGGAAATGGGTTGATATTCGTAATTCTCCATTTCTTCACGCATATATCGTTTCGCTGGCATGATTACAAATTGAGTTTTCAACTGACCATTAGAAAAACGTCGTCTTAATGGTATGAACTTTTGGTTAACCGAAATCTCAACTGAAGTATTATCAGGTCGTGAACTTAATTGACCCATTAAAACTGTACTAAAGTACCGGTGAATTAGTACGGAAAATTCCAATATCGTCCTTTCACCTGTGGCTATGGTTTGCATATAATATTGAAAAAAATTTCCCGTATAGTTTTCCGCCGAATAATCTTTCTCAGTATCATTATATTGATCAAAGTAAATCGTATAAAATATTGGTATCTCGTCTGGTGTTAACCCATCCTTTGGTAGGATATTAAAATAAACAAAGGGCTTGTTTGTTTCCCTTTCCCTTAATTTATTATCCTCATATTCTTCACGCCCATACATATTCCTTTCTTCTTTTTTAGGTCGAAATTTATAACATCCATTACTACTTTTCTGAATGAATTTATTGCATAATGGCTGCGTAAATTCTGCGTTTTCCTTTAATAACATTGATTCCATACCTGTGGATTTACCGCAAGTGATGGAAAATGGTGGATCGATGAAAATATCTTTTTCTATCGTTGGATCTATAAACTTTGGCACATTGGATTCTGGACATATGACGAATCCTAATAAAAACATCAATAAAGTTAACATATGCCAACGTTCAAAATTAAGATAAATTTCTTTTTGGGGAAAAAAAAAGTTATTTACCTGGGAAAGAAATATTCGTCTTCGGTTCTATCATGACTATGTTCGCCGTATTAATGAACATTGTAAAATTCGTAAACTGATAGATTCCGTATACACCAAATACTATTAATAAAGTTAGGGCAAATGTTCGTCTAATTAGGCGAAACCACCAGGGTTCTGTTCTGTAATTAAAACATAAAGCGTCTTTTGCGAACATCCTTTTTTTTTTAAAAAAAAATATATAGAGAGAGAGAGAGAGGAGAAAAAGAAGAATGTATAATGATTGAATAAGGATTTTTTTTTAAAAAAAAAGAAGGAAGTGCTCTATTCTACCTAAAAATCCAACTATAATGTTTTAAAATATATACATGCGACCGGCGCCAAAATAATTCATCATGTAAGAAAAACGAAAAGGAAAAAAAAAAAAAAAAAAAAAAACTAAATGAATAAGGATAGGATAGTTCAATATTTTTACATTTTATAAATGTTATAATATTCACGTTTTACAAATTTTTTATGCAGGATTGCCTTTGTTCATTTTTCGTTCTTTCTTTAAAAAAAATAAAAATACTGTTGGATTACAATTACGTGTAACAAACAAGAATTTTATTCCTTTGTGTTATTCAAAACAATGGTTTTAGGTGATTTGTCACCGGCGTGACACCGGTAGTGTTTCATTTTTATTAAGTATCAGGGTGGTGATGTTTATTTGTCACCCTTAGTACGTGACAAATAACATAGTTAATTATACCAGCCCAATCGGAGCCTGGGGAAGTCCAAAACAATTAATTGGTCCCCTTTGTTAAGTCTGAAGCCAATTTCGATTTTTTTGGTTATTTGCGTTACATGAATTTCCTTTTCTTTATGACAAATAAAAGTCCGAAGGGGTGGGATTTGGTTTTCATTCTTAACCTGATCCGTCCCCAATGTTTCACTAATACATTATTTATAAAACATCAAAGAAAGAAAAGAAAGAAAAGAAAGACACCGGTATAACTTTGCAAAACGTTTCAATCACAATTTCATAATAGATTATCATGACAAACATCCAGTTTTTTAAAGTTTGGTTCTAGCGATGACGTTTGATGAGTCTGCAAATTTAACTTGTAAATCTCCTTCAATTTTTATTTCTGTAATGTTGTCCATGAATCATTCATCATCATAATAATATTAAAAAAAAATGGTTAATAGGGTAATTAATATATTATATAATTCAACATCATCGGAACTTCAATTTACTTCAAAAATCAGAATTCTTGAAAATACTATCTCTTTAGAGGAGAATAAAGCTCAAACATAATGCAAGCAGCACAGCAACGATTACGAGAAAGAAAAAAAACCAAAAATTAGATAAAGAAAATCTTGTTGAAATATATAATGCTCCAGTAGACAGAGTTTCTCATTTCAAATCGCTTTTTCGAAGGAACTTTTTTTTTTGAAATGTGACATCAATGTTCCGATCGTCACAAATTCCCAAATTCATCATCTATGCCAATTTAACTTGTCAACAGGTAAATTGCATACAATTTTGTTTGGCAATCTATGCATGTTATTAAATTACGAAATCTGTTTTAAACATGTAAAACACATTGGTCTTTTATTAAGAAATTTGGCGATATCTTCGTAATTGTTTTTATACCGAGTTGAAATTTCTAATTATAGAAAAATGCTTTTGGATGTAATATATTATTAATAAATAAAAAAAATTTGCTCATAATATTTTTGTTAAAAAATTTATTTTTTAAAAAAAAAAAATAAAATATGCGCTTAAAACTTATATTTTATTATTTCCCTAACATTAGTATCTAGTAATTTTAGTATATAAAAATTCTTTGCCAGCTAAAACGATATCTTTACATATGAAACGAATCAGGTTCAGTTTTTTTAGATTAGGTGTATATAGAGTTTGGATCCGAGTATCCATATTATCCATGGATATATATCCATAATATAAATTTAATATCCGTTATACATATAAAAATTAAACCTGGATATGGATAATTTAAAAAAAAT